ACTGGAGCCATTCAGTATGTTTGAGAGATGTATCAGCTTTTGCCAAAATATTGCCGTGTAACAAACCACCCCCAAAGCTCAGTGGCTTAAAACAGCAATCATTTGTTACTGTTCATACGTTTCCAGTTGGCTGAGAGTACCCTGATTGAGGCCGGGCCCAGCTGGGGAGGCTCTGTGCTAAATCTCTCCTCTCCCTTGGACCAGCAGGCCAGCCGAGGCAGGTTCTCTCGGTGGTGGCAGAAGCGCAAGAGGGCAAGCAGACACACGTGAGGTCTAGTCTTGGAACTGCTCCTCGGTCACTTCTACCTCGTTCTGTTGGCCAAAGCAAGTCGCGTGACCCACCCAAAGTCAAAAGCCCAAAAAACCAAACCCGTTGCCGTCAAGTTGATTCCAACTCATAGCGGCCCCGTAGGAGAGAGCAGAACTGCCCCATAGGGTTTCCAAGGAGTGGCTGGTGGATTCAAACTGCAGACCTTTTGGTTAGCAGCCGAGCTCTTAACCACTGTGCCACCAGGGCTCCGCCCAAAGACAAGGGCTGAGGAGAGCTACTCTGCCTCTTTAGTGTGAAGAACTGCAGTCACGTGGTAGAGAGCATGGACACAGGAAGGAGTAAAGAATGGGCCTGTTAGTGCAGTCCAGAGGGGTGACGGAAATGAAGGGACAGCCACGCTCATCGCTCGTGCTCATGGTTTGTAGTTCCCACTTTTGGGGTGGCTGGGAATTCAAGGCCTGCACCAAGGAGGGCCAAGACCATGGCCAGTGACCTTTCATGGAGCTCCTGGAGCCCAGGTGGGAGTCAGGAGGGCAGGGGAAGCTCCCTACCCACATGGAAAGACATGGGGGATCCCGGCTAGGAAAGGAGCTGATGCAGAGTGGTGGAGCAGATGAGGCTGAGACGCTCAGGTCTGCAGCCCAGCAGGTCTGGGGTGACCCAGCTTTCTCCCTGCCCACAGTCCTTATTCTGGAGGCCATCGAGAACCACAACCTCGCAGACACGGTGCTCAAGATCACGGACTTCGGCCTTGCCCGAGAGTGGCACAAGACCACCAAAATGAGCGCAGCGGGGACATACGCCTGGATGGCGCCAGAGGTTATCCGCCTCTCCCTCTTCTCCAAAAGCAGTGATGTCTGGAGGTGCTGCGAGGCGGGCCGGGGCGGCCTCCTGGAGTGGGGGAGGGCAGATGGGGGCAAGGGTAGAGTGGAGGGGTGGCCTCCGCCTGCAGCCGGGACCCTGGCCACCAGGCAAAGGGGCCAGCGCCCAAGGTCAGACCGGCAGGCAGGGCCAGAGCAGTTGGTTGGTCTGCTGCTGGAAGTGGCAACTGAGGAGCAACTTGGAATGAAATTAAAAATTCCCAGGATACAGAGATAGGCTGTCAGCACTAAAGGCTCCTCAGAAACCCACTGGGACCCTGCCCTCATTTGTCAAACCAGGAAATGGAAGCCTTTGGAGGCAACCATTCATTCATTCATTCATCCAGCTGTGCTGGGC